GAACTTCGGTTAACAGTTGATCTGTTAACAGGACGCCCACCTTATGAAGAGTTGCCTGAAAATATGTCAGAGTTCGTGAAAGTGTTATCGGAAAAAATGGATAATATTCACCATCAAGAGCATTCAAACTTGAAAACGTCTGCTGATTCGATGAAGCTATGTTATGATAAGAAGTTTACTGAAGTCAGCTTTGTACCAGGAGACAAGGTGTGGTGTATAATAAAAATTCTTTCCGAAGAACTTCAGCAATACAAGTCCTTTCTCAAATAAAACTAGTTTATCCTTTCTCAATTCAACTTTGCAATACACTTAATTTCCACAGTCACCTTAACTTAAACACGCGCTATAATTCTCAATGAACGATTCGCGCACTTTACTTACTGCCGCGCTTGACTCAATTGTCCATCTATATCTTCAATCTCTCTCTGTCCGCTATTCAAACCCAATTAATTGTCTGACGCGCTTATATACAACAATAGAGGGCGCCTAGCAAATACTGGATTAATTGTCATGTTCACCGATATTTCTAGAACTCATTACGTGTTACCAAGGTCACGTGACTTCCACTGTCGTAACACTGCCTCTTCCTTAGAATTGTTCGTCCTGAACAATAGCCACTTACATTAAACCAATAGAAAATTAACAATAACTTAATTAAATGTACAGAATTTACAAACACAAAATTAAAATTCAACAGAGTCTCTTAATATTACAGGACGTGTCTTCTTCCGTACTGGCCTCCATCTCGTTGGCTTCTGCTTCACGTGAGGTTCATCTGCTCCATCGGGAATTGTCCTGTCATCGGTTAGAGTCACATCAGTGGTAGTAACTTCATCAAGGGCTTCACTATTTCCCTTCTCAAAACCGAATAGAGTTTCTTCTTCGACAGTGAACTTTCCAGATTACACATCTTCAGTGGCATCTTTTGTTCCATTGTTCACTTCATCCCAGCTGAAATGTCCTGGACCGTGATAACGCCAAAGCCTGTTGGCATGCCGACCACATTTTATCCAGAAAGTCACATCTGAGAGACGATCCACTATGTCACATGGGCCTTCCCATGGAGAAGACAACTTAGGAGACTTCCCTGTGGTCTTCCTGGGATGGGAAATTAACAAATGACCAGAGACGTAACAATATATAATTGGAAAAAGCTTGAGTTATGTCAACATAAATGCAGTAACATATATTAATTTATTTACTAAGAATGATCTCAAATTGAAATAAGTTTTGAGAGCTAGGGATTTTGGGTATAACACATGAATCAAATAGATGATGGAACTTAATTCTTAAGACAAAGAATGGAATTGGAATAATTATATATTATCCTGTTAATTCAGAATGAAAATCCCTGTGCAGTATCTCACAGTCACAGACATTCAAGGGAGATAAACCACAACTCATACTAATTTGTATAAATCTCTGTACTATGTTTAAAATGAGTATGATCTCAGTCCAGGAGAACATAACATAGTAACAGAGTCAAGCCTTACTGAAAAATTGTTATGGTATATAACATTTGTTTAAATTAGAGGATTAGCACAAGTTTAGGACCTTTCTACTACAGCATTTTTCTAATAGTGCAACTAACTCTCAAACATTAGCATTACTGAGAAATACAGATTCTGATGAGATAATTAAAAAGATACTCTCTAATGGAAACAATACTGTTCTTGAATTAATTTTTGTTGTTGTTTTAGCATACCATATTAACAGGACTAAATTTTTGTTGTTTGTTTTTGTTTCAGTGTGTCCTAGTTGCCATTTCCAATATTCCTTGGCCAAAGGAGGGTGTATGCATTTTCGATGCATACAGTGTCAGTATGACTTTTGCAGTGGCTGTGGTGGTGCCTTTAAGATGGGAAAGGTAATTTAACACATGCAAGATAATATTGTATTTATTTATTTGCATCACATTTTCACATCTAGTTAATCATTTTCTCTCTCTCTCTCTTTCTTTTTTTCTTCTTTAGTGTATGAAACTTTGCTAGAAATAATATTTGACAGATATTTTTAACATACATTTTACAGAAAGAAGCATCATAGAGTAAATCTTCCTCCATGTAAAAAAGATAAAAATATATTCCTAAAATCAAAAAATCTCTTAACTGGATGGCTTAATGAACTGTATGTCAAGGTAAGTATAGCTTTAGTGTAATGATGTTCTTGTTACAAAGAAGTATGATGTGTTATTTGAGACAGTATCATGCAGAAAGTTATCAATACAAAATGTATTTGATTAATTTTTATACTTACTATAAGCTTGTTAGAAGTATAATACAGTGTATAATATGTAAAAAGATATATGTACACACACGCACACTATGTAGTATGTTGGTTTTCAACTTGTATTTGCATGTCTGTTTTAATAATGTACTGCGTTTTCACAGAAGACTCAGGTAAACAGATTTAAAATAAAATAATGTGTTTTAACAGTAAACTTTATGGTATTCTACATTGGTTTTTAGTTGTGAGGTGTGGGTTCCATACATTGAATTGATAATTATGGAGGAACATATTTCATAGTACACTGATAAATACTTTTTGTATGCATTTAACATATTAAGAAACTTGTTCCGTGCCTGAAACTTGCTTGCAAAACACTTAATAATTTAATTAGAGAAAACACATAAAATTGTTCAGATAATTTCTTTTACAATCCAATCAACAACATAATATTTTGTTTTCAAAATTAAATATATCTATAAAGATTCCATTTCAACAGTTTTTATTATAAATAATTTGTTTTTGTAGCTATTTCGTAAAGCAAGTACTAATATTTGTGTCTGAATGTAGGTGCATATACATGTAATTTATATACATTTTCCAGAAGTGTGGGCTGTCAAATTTCTGTGAGAAATTGGGACTGCATGCACATCATCCACGAAATTGTCTGTTTTATCTTCGTGATAAAGATCCTGCTGACCTGCAGGAATTGCTGGATGTAAGTTGATAGTACAGTTCTTATTAAAAGCCATACTCCTGTTAGTTCTACTTTGGTTAAGTAATCAACATAGCATGTACCTTTTATTCTACATGTACATCTACTAGTGTCTACTTTTCTCCTTACTTAGTTTCCTTCTGGTTAGTGAAATCATTTCCCATGTGCATAAATAAAAACATTTTAAATACAGTTGCAAGTTCTTGAAGTAAGTAAAATTAATTTCAATGTGCATATGTATGATATATAATAATATATTCCAAAATATACCTGGAATATATTAAATGTTTTTTATTTGCATTTACATTTTATGTAAAGCTTTATATTAAGCAGTGAAAAGTTTGTAAAAAAAAGTATAATCAACTGTTATGTAACAATGGCAAATATATATATAATACTGTTATTTTTTGTTTTTTTTACAAATGTTTTGAATACTTAAATGAAAGATATTATATGTGATGGTTTGAGCATACTGGTAGAAATGTGAAACTATATGTCAGACTACATAACTTTTCTTTACAGAGTGTAAGTTAAACAACTGATCAACCAAGTTTGTAAACAGTTTATTAAAGTTAGATTGCGACTTCTGTAATTAAATGGGCGTGAAAATCATTGTCTTGACAGATTTAAAAAAGAAATTCATTTGGCTACCAAAAGTTAATATGCACATTAAAGACTGATATTTAAATCAAATTATGTACAATGAATTTTCATGACTGTAACTTTTATTTTGGTTTTCTTGTCTATAGATATAATGTTATTTTTATACTGGGATCTAGTTTAAATCACAATTGAACCTAAAGATGATTATATAAGGCTTCCTTGACAGGTTTTCGCTGGGTGAGTTAAACTTTTGTGATAAGTATGTTTTTTCATTTGAGGTGTTGCAGCAAGAGTGGAAAAATTTTCCAGAAGCTTGGGCTGTCAAATTTCGTTGAGAAATTGGGACTGTATGTGTGTCATCCTCAAAATTGTCTGTTTTTATCTTCATATAAAGATGTTTTTATTACAAAGAAGTATGACATTGTTAATAAACAATCTTAAGATATTGGTTGAGACAGTGCCATGCACAAAATTACCAACACAAAATCTTAGTTTACTCCTCCTTGTGAGGTATTAAAAATATATTTGATCTATTTGTATACTTACTATAATTTTGTTAGAAGTATAGTGCATAATATTTATATACATATATACACACACACAAACCACAGATTTAGTCAGTGTTTTGGAATAGTGGTTCCCAGCTGCTATTCCATTGATTACACTGGTTGATTGACATATTTTTATAGACCCATAGCTAGATCTGGTGAAAAAAACAGTTATGGAGAATTCAATTTTAATGAAAGCTAGAATTGTACATGTGTTAAAAATAGGTTGAAAGTGTTGTTTCCTTCATAGTTTATTGTAAAATAAGCGAGCTTCGATTATCATAACTTTCACTTAATACAAAACTTTTTAAATGGAGCTAAATTAGGAAACATCATTGTTGGCCTGTATACTTCTAGTGGGCTGTAACTTTCTTTACAAAGATTTATTTTTTAAGTATGATAACATTTCTTTGGCATTGTTTTAGTTTGTTTTAGTCTAATTTAACATATTAAGACTAACATCATTTGAACTATGTCAATTATGTGAAAGATTGGATGATCTGTTATGTTTTTAAATTCTTAATTTGAATAGAACAACTAACATAAAAGTTATCTTAACTATGCTGTTTATGGTTTAATAAAGTTTCAACTGAAAATTTCTTGAAACCATAAGTTAGAGTCAGGTTTTGCTAATGACTGTTAACTGATAAATAACCCTCAACCTCTATAGTCTTGTGGTGTAAAATACTGTTTATATCTCATTCTCCCATAGTACATGTCTCATATTTAAAACAAAATTAATTTTTTTTAAATTTTCAATTTGGGTTATACTGAATCTAGTTGGGATTATATGCTAAATTCATCCTCATGTGCTACTTTCTACAGCAAGGTCCAATCATGGAAACTATCTACTGTTTCATCAGATACTTGTATTGTGTCATACTTGACATTGTGTATATGGAGCTGCTCAATGACTGTCACATGCAACATGTATATTTCTGGGTACTTGTGAAGAATTTTTCTGATTGGTCATCTAAGAGAGAAGGTGGAAACTGTAAATGCAATTTGGTATTTTTAGACAGATTCTTTTCTAACATGGCAGAGCCAAGGCTTACTTGTGAAGTCTTGATTGTCTTTGTTTTCTTTTGTCTTCTAACACTTGCTGGTAATAATTGAAGTGGTTTAACTTCAAGTAAAGTTAATTTTCGCCTTTGATAATTTAAGGATAGCTTTAATTTACTTATATTTTTTATTTGAATTCAGTTTATTTTATTCCATTTGAATCCATTCAACAGTGCAGAAGTCTTCTACTTAATGGTCAGTCATTCTTCACTTTCCTGACTTCACTCAATAAAACATTTATCTATTTATCTTCACAAGGAATATTGTCTCTTTACTTCAAGTTGCAACATATCATTATATTTGTCCTTTTATATACTAGGCCCTCAAATCTGCAGCTATTGCAGATATCAGGTTTATCCTTAGAATATGACAGTCTGTTTACTGAATCTTAAAACTATTGCTATATGTGTGCATACAAGTAGTTAGTTAAAGCTTTTCTGTATTGCCAATAACAAGATGTTTTTCTAGAATTTAATTTGAAGATTCTTTGTGAGAATTTTTGTGTACATATTAACATATCACTAACGTTTTTTTAAAATAAAACTAGTCTGATGATATTGTTTTAAATATCTGCTGTTAGGCCTACAATGTACCTTATAATAAAGAACCACCTGAAGGAACAGAGATCAAGGAGCATTGTCAAGTGATGGAACAAAAAGAGACACTCTCTGGACTGGCAGATGATATCTGTGGTAAAGAAGTGCTTGAAGGGCATGCAGGTTTGTGTAGGTAAGTGCCATGTTATTATTTCTTTTAGATCATTAATTGACCATCCTTGAAAGGATATAAATTAATTTAACATCCAGTTCAACTTATAATATTAAATTGTCACATCCAGAAGAAGAATGTGACAATTTGCAGATAAATTTTATAATACTAATGCTGAATTTGTGCGAAATCAAGGGTGGACTAGTAAGAATTTAGACTCTACTTTTCCAGCACCTTCCTTTGCTCAGACAGCTAAACATGAACCTTGGACTGACATTCTGTCTCCTGCACCCTTTTTACAACTAGTATGGCATGTTTGTAACATTTTGAGTATTTCTCCTGTAGCTTATGAATTTTCACCTTATTTCAGTTTTCCATAATTCGTCTGTTACTTACCACAGTTTCGCATTTTTATCATCTTTTCAACTATTGTTTGAGGCCTATCATAGATCCCCTGCTCAAAATTCGGAGGATCTTAATCTATCTTGGTTAGGTTATCAGCTTCTGCTCTTTCTTTGGTATCTTGGTTGGTTTGTTGGTGGGATTTTTTTGAGAGAGATTCCTTACTGGAGGGAATTTGTCTTCCTATGTTGACCCTTAGAGATCTTAGTGAAGCTTTTTTTCTCAGACAGTCTATTTTTACAGGAATTCCAGATTGGATGGAATATCGAGTAGATGTGGCCCATCTACATTTATCACTTTGTACACTGGCTTCTTGACTGTCCCACAGTTCTTCCAGGACAGTTTACTACATTTCCTGTTTGAGCTTCCAGATTTCCTGCTTTGGTGCCACGTTTCATTGGAACACAAAAGCGATTTCAACCTTACCAGTAGGGATCTTCCGCCGGGGTGGATCACAGATTTCAGCGTCAGTGACTACTTTTGTGTGGTCTCATCTCAGAGGGTTTGTGTTAATATGGGAGACATTCACTACAGATCTGTGGGTCATTCAAATTCTCAGAAGTAGATTGGTCATTCAGTTCACGCCTCTTCCTTCTCTGCCCCTCATACCATTTGGCTTTTCACTCCCCAAGGATCCTCTTACTTCAACCGACGAGCACAAGCCATCCAGGAACTTCTGCACAAAGAGGCTATAAAGCATGTCACCTCCCCTCTTGAGGGTTTATATTCTTGGCTATTTGTAGTACCAAAAAAAGATGGGTGATTGGAGACAGGTCATCGACCTTTCTCATCTCAATTGCTTCCTCCCATCTCCTTGGTTTACAATGGAGTCGTTTCTTTCCATTTGATGGCTTTTTTCATTCAGACAATGGATGACAAAATTCGACATCACAGATGCCTACCTTCATATCCCAGTTGCTGAGTCTTCAAGGTGTTATATCTGCTTGCGCAACAACCAGGTTTGTCAGTTTCATGCTCTACCATTTGGTCTCTTATCTTCTCCATACATTTTTTGCCAGATAGTTAGAGCTTTTTTATGTCATCTTCACTCCCTTGGCATTCACACTCACCATTACAAGGATGACTGGCTTCTTCTTGCCCCTTCCCACCATTTGGCAGAACTGCACACTCAAACTCTGTTATTAGAAGCTGCAAGAGCTGGGTTTCTTACTAAAAAGGAGAAGTCTATTCTTACTCCTGTACAGTACATCATCCATTTAGGGGTGTTTTTCAATTCCAGACGAAGCCGGGCCCAACCTTCTCTTCTATGCCTTCAGGCCATGGAATAGGCAGTTCTTCAAATACAGTTGTCTTCTTCTCCACCAATATGCACAGTTCTATTTCTTTTGGGAATGTGGGCATCCTTGGAATTATTCATTCCTTTAGGTTGGGCCCACATGAAGACCCTTCAATGGTCGTTACAGGATCAGTGTAGCATTTGCACAGATGTGCTGTATTGTGAGACTGTCAGATTCCAGTTTGCTGGATCTAAGCTGGTAGTTGAACAGGGATAACACAACAGTAGCTGTCCCTCTACCATGTCCACGGCCAGAGATACATCTGTTTACAGATGCTTTTCTTCAGGGCTTGAGTGCTTGTATAGACAGTATGGAATTCAAGGGACTTTGGACAGTAGAGGAAGCTTCTCTCCACATAAATCTCTTAGAACTTTTAGTAGTTCAATGAGCTATGACTCAGGGTCTCGAATTGTTGTGAGGAAAGGTGGTAGTATTTCATTTGGATAATTCCACAGTAGTCAAATAAATTGTTCTCCTTGCTTGTCATGTTCCAAGGGTAATGAAGCTAGTGGCCAACCACTTAACTAATCCCAACAGAGCTCTTCCTGTGGAATGGATGCTTCATCCACAAGTTTTTTATTGGACCTACTCTTGTTTAGGGACACACAAGTTGATGCTTTTGTCACACACTGGAATGCTCAGCTCCCTCACCCTCTGGCTTTGGAAATAGATGCTCTCAGCCAGAATTGGATGGGTCTTCATCTTTATGCATTACATCTGATTTGTCTTTTCTCCAAGGTTCTGGCACTGATTCCCTCCATGTCCTATCGAGTTCTTCTGGTGGCATCATATTGGCTGGTCAGCCCTGGTTTCCACTCCTCCAGTATCTTCAGGAGTTTACATCTCTTCTCCATCCTCCCTGGCCATCTCTTTCATGTCAGCCTTGGTCAAACAGATTTCATCCAGCAGTTGACATTCTTCAACTTCATGCCTGGCTTTTATGCGGTCCATTGCATGACATCAGGGATTTATGTCTTAAGTGGTGTCCTTAATAACACATTCCATTCAACATTACTCTTTGGAAGTTTATAAAAAAAATGGTTTACTTATCAATAGTCTTTCAGACATGGGTTTAACCCTTCACATCCCACTGTGCCACATCTCTCAATTTTTGACATGGTTGTTTGACAAAGGTTTGGCACATTCGTCTGTTGCCTTGTATAAGGCTGCTTTATCAGCTACTTTTCGTTTTTCTACGAGAAGAAAAGTTTTTGAGTCCTCGATTTTGTCCTTAGTTTTAAAATAATTTTGGGTTATCTGTCCTCGTAGCCCTTTCCAGCTTCCTTATTGGATATCACAGTGGTTCTCCATGCATTATCATGTCCATCTTTTGAACCGTTGGGGTCGTGTTAACTATATCATCTTTCACTCAAAACATATACACCTGGAAAAATGTTAAGTACCCCCGTGTTTTTTTCAAGTGATTCAGATTCGACGTTCTTGTG